AATAAGATGGGATCTCCCGAGGGATGGGATGGGTCCACATCCCGTCCTGTCTCAGCAGAAAGGCTGGTTTCCCTTTCTCTGGCATTCCAAGTATGCAGCACATGTTACTGTGTGGGAGAAAGAGGTCTCCTGGACCTCCTTTGGGTCCTAAGTGTAGTCTGAGAAATAACTGATGCTAATATCTAACAGAAAAGAAAAGACACAGAAACACATTAGTGTAAAACTTGTTTCCTTATAACACCAACAAAATCATGCCAAACTGATTAGCGAATATTGGAATCAAATGAAGTTTTAAGAAAACATGTTAATAAATCTTAATTATTCTGGGCTTTTGCTACAGAAGGAAAATGAAGAAACCCAAAACTACTAGAAAGATCAGAAGTCACTTAAAAAAAAGGAACACAAAACTGAAACAGGGGCACACAGATGGCTCATCAGGTTAAGGGTCCGACTCTTGATTTCGGCTCAGGTCATGATCTCATGGTTCATGGGTTCAAGCCCTGAGTCAGGCTCCCCACTGACAGCACAGAGCCTGCTTGGGATTCTCTCTCTCTGCCCCTCCCCTGCGTGCATGCTCTCCTCAAAACAAATAAACTTTAAGAAAAAAAAAAAGGGAACACAGTGTACAGGATTTTAATGAAATATAAATATATAACCAATTCACTTGCTTTGTTGCAAAGAGGTAGTATGTCAGTAGAGGTCAAAACAGGAAGTATTTAGAAGTCTGCTTACAACACATCATCTGGTTAAACTGTCTTAAACTTACATGTGAATTAGAGATCCAGGGCTAGATTTAGTCATTTACTAGATTTAGTAAACAGAAACTTGGGCCAGGTTTTTCAATGCCTCTTGGCAAACACAGGCTATTATTTCTTAAGTATTTTGATAAAAATGAAGAAAATATTAAATGAATTAAATGAAATATTCAATGAATGTGCCTATGCTATAATCTTGGAAAAGTATGCTTGATAGATGTACAAAATACCACCTCCTCCTATTTGTGAAACTGTTCACAGTTAAAGAGCTCTCACAATTAAAGACTCCTCCTGACTCCTCTGAGTCCCCTCTGAAATGTGTATTGATGCACAGGAACTGAAGAGGAGTTAAGAAAGGTTAGGTGACCTAATGAGCAAGGTCATGGGAGACGTAAGCAGAGGGACCAGGATGAGGCCTTCTTCTAGACAGAGGCAATTAAGCTACATTGGGCTTTCCAAGAAAAAGGACACCAAAATAATATCTTTTATTTTTAGAAAGGAAGTTTTGGTAAAATGGAGCAGGGCCAAACGGATGTCCCAAAGCTTTTTATGCCACTTCTACCTAATCTTTTCTCACACAAGGATAAATTTTGGTTGGTGAAGTCAGATGTACCAGAGAAAAAGGGATTCATCTTAAAAAGCTTGTTTTAAACATTAACCTCCGTTTTCTCTTAAGATTTGTTGGTGGGGGGGGAGAGGGGGGACAGATTCATGCTAACATAGAAATTAGCATTCTTTAACAGCATTTTCCTCAGGATGAAGTTCTTCGTGGTCAAGGATTTCTTTTCTTTTCTTTTTCTTTTTTTTTTTGGTATTTCATATCAACCAGCAGAAGAGAAGCACAGCAGGCAGGATAAAAATACTTGTTTCACATGAGCCAGCAATTCTACTCCTAAGTATTTACCCTAAGAATTGAAAGCAGGGACTCAAATAGAGACTTGTACACCCATGTTCACAGCAGTGTTCTTCACAACTGCCAAAAGGTACTAACAAACCAAGTATCCACCAACATAGGAAGAGATTTTTTTTAAATGTGGTACAGACACACAGTGGGAGTATTATTCAGCTATAAAAAGGAATGGAGGGGCGCCTGGGTGTCTCGGTCAGTTGGGCGTACGACTCTTGATTTTGGCTCAGGTCATGATCCCAGGGTCATGAGATCGGGCCGTGTGCTGGACTCTGAGCTGAGCATGGAGCCTGCCTGGGATTCTCTTTCTCCCTCTCACATTCTCTCTCTAAAAAAATTTAAAAAAAAATAAAAATAAAAAAGGGTATGGAATCCTGATATGCAACAATATGGATGAACCTTGAAAACATCAGATTAAGGGAAATAAGCCAGACACAAAAAGGATAAATATTTTGTGATTCCACTTACATTAGTACTAGAATAGGCAAATTCAGAGACAGAAAGTAGAAAAGAAGTTGCCAAGGGATGGGGTTGGAGGAGAATGGGAAGGAATGGTTTAGTGGGTTTGGGATAATGAAAAAGTTCTAGAGATGAACACTGGTGATGGTCGTACAATACTGTAAATATACTTAATGCCATTTTGAAAGCGCAAAACACATTATGTACATTTTACTAAAAACACAGAAAAAACCTGCTTGAAAAATGGAAGCGCCAGAGGGAACTATCTCGTCGAAGATTAAGAGTATGTGAAAAGAAGAGAGAAGATGGCAACCAGTGTACCCACAGGTCATCCATGCACTGATCCAATACATGCTAGGTAAGTGCCAGTTATCCACCAGGGACTATACAAAGCCTTGAGAATGCAGAACAAAACAGACTTCAGCTCTCTTCTGAGAGACTTTAAGAGTCTAATGAGGAATACAAAGAAGAGACAATTATAACACCAACACAACTTGGCAATTACTGTGATAGGAATGTATTCAAGGTGTCAGAGAGCACACTGAAGTCACACTCAATATGAGGGGATGGGCAGAAAGGATACCTGAAAGAAGTAAAGTCTAAGTTGTAACTAAAAGAATGATATTAAGAGGGCAACAGAGTACTCCAGAAACAGTAATCGCATATTTTAAGGCATATTTTAATAGCATGTTAAATTCAAATGAGATTAGGGGCACCTAGGTGGCTCAGTTGGTTAAACATCCAACTTCAGCTCAGGTCATGATTTACGGTTCGTAAGTTTGAGCCCCCTACCAGGCTCTGCGCTGACAGCATGGAGCCTGCCTCAGATCCTCTGTCTCCCTCTCTCTCTGCCCTTCCCCCACTTGCACGTGCCCATTCTCTCTCAAAAATAAACATTAAAAAAAAAAAGTTTCCCAAGACTGGATATGGAATATGAGAGAAGGGTAAATGTCAAGAGAAGTAGCAGATGGAGAGCCAGAGAATTGCTACGTGCACTGGAAGGAGAGGAGAAAAGTGGCCAGAAAGGTGGAAAAGGACAGATGCATGAAAAGCAAGGAAGCTGGTTTTAAGGAGGAGGGCTGGGCCCAGAATATAGTGTATCTCAGAAAATGCTCTAGGTGTCAAGAATCTGTATTCTGCTGTTGTTGAGTGGAATATTCTATAAATTCCAATCAAATCAAGTTAGTTTGTGGTGTTCAAGTATTCTACATAATGATTTTTCTCTCCGCTTACACTATCAATTGAGAAAGACTTAGCAAAATCTGACTATAAATTGTCCATTTCTCTCTGTAGTTCCACCAGTTTTTATTTTGCGTATTTTAAGGCTCTGATATTCATACATAAACATTTATAACTGTTATGCCCTCCTAATTGGTCCCTTTTTATCTTTATGAAATGAACTTCCTTATTCTTGGCAATACTCTCTGCTCTCAAATCTACTTTGGTAGATGTTAATATGGGCTGAACAACTATAAACTGGAGAAGAAAAGATACACGTGAATGGAGACTGGATTCAACTACTGATATTAAATTCACCAGAGTAATGAAAATGGAAACTAGATGATCGAATGGTAAGCAATTAGTGAGTGGTAGGGGGAAAAAAAGACCACAGGAGTGGTAGATGATACATAAAAGCAATGTCCCCACTAGAGAAAATTTATCTGGTTATTTAAAAAAAAAGTTTTTACATGTTTTTATTTATTTTTATGAGACAAAGAGACAGAGAATGAACGAGCAGGGGAGGGGCAGAGAGAAGAGGGAGACACAGAATCCAAAGCAGGCTCCAGGGTTGGAGCTGTCAGCACAGAGCCCAATGCAGGACTCGAACTCGTGAACTGCGAGATCACAATCTGAGCTGAAGTTGGACACTAAATCAACTGAGCCACTCAGGCAGCGCCCTTAATCTGGTACTTTTAATGATTCATAGACTTATTCATAAAAGGAATTCATTAGAAATATCTTAACATTTTTTAGTGGCTCATAAAGAACAGACTTGGAAAAACAATTCTCACTTTTGACTTGTCTGTAGACAATATGCCAAGAATGATGCACTTCTAAGAAACTCTAGGCTAGAGGTACTTATTCCAACACACAATTGATCTTTACGTTCCCTTTTAACAAAACTTAGGCCACTCTGAGGATATCATATAGCACTGTTCCCCAACAACTGCCTTTAACTTAAAATGGAAGCATAAGTCCTCAACAAGGGGTTACATATCCAAAGATATGCAAAGTCTTTGGGCTTAACCACTTGCTTCCTACATCAAAAAATGGGAGCAAAGCAAAAATGAAAACATCTTTCTGAGGCTTGAATCCCTGAGGTAGCACTACTGAGTTTCATTTATATTGGTGGTCACTGGCTTCTGTAAGAGTTGAACCCTTCTGATAATTTCATGAAACTAAAAAATGCTCTCTCCAGGAAAATCTCATATATCCAACCTTTGCAAATGATTTCAGGGGCTCATAGACCATGGATGCTCAAGGTAAGAAATTTTAATTTATGCCTGCTTAAAGTACAGAACGAATATATATAGAGTCTCCAATCCAGTCACACCTTTTTATCAAGCAAAGTTCTCTGGACCTCATGTGTTACAATGAATCCATAGCGGACTTAGTTAAAAATTATATTTCTTATGAAATATATATTGAAAGAGGATTCACCATACTTGCTTTGTAAACCTTGATGTGAACAATAGCCTTCCCAGTAAGGCCGAATTATCAAGGCTATACTCTTAGCAACTCTGGAATCAAATGCAGTCTCTGCTTACTTTGCTATCCATGCTATTTACCCATGGCTCAAGTTAAGGCCTATTCCAGGTGAGCCAAGCCACAGTCAACCCACTGCCAAATGATGAAGGACTTGCTGGTTTAACCCTTACCTGTTGCTATGCTTGGACTTTTCTCGGTCCTTCTCCTTGTCTTTCTTGTGTTCTTTGTGCCGGTGTTCTCGATCTTTATGTTTATCTTTGTGTTTATGAGAATCTGCAACCGTAAGAGATGAGTCAGTTAAGAAGAGTCATAAGCTATCTCCTGCCCACCTATCTTGACAAGTTGGTCAAGAAGCACAATGACACGACTCAAATGGAAGGTAGCCATAAGAGCACACTCCACTGGAAGGAAAGATTTCACAAAGCCGCCCAGACAAGGCATCCCATTACCCTGCCTCTAAAACCAAGACATGTGTTACAAACATGAAGGGGAAATGGGAATGAATTCTACTATAAAAGGAAGTAACAGTTTGGCATTCTTCTCCCTGTATCTGGTAGCATTGAGACTAAGTCATAAATGATACAAAAGGATAAATCTTGAACACTGACTCTCGAGATGGTTATCTACATAAGTTCTGGAAAATACAAACCTTAGGAGATATGCTTTTAAATCAACTTTAATAAAGTATAATTTCTATGCAGAAAACATACACATTTTTAAAGATACAGTGTGGTAAGTCTAACAAACATATGCACAGGTATAATCCCCATCACAATCAAGATTTAGAACAATCCCATCACCCCAGAACGTTTCCCTTGCATCCATTCCCTGTCAATCCCCATCTTCCCCCCCCCAGCCCCCTCCTGCTGAAAGCAACCACTAATTTGCTAGCACTATGGATATGTCTGAAGTTTTATATAAATGAAATCATACAGGATTTACTGTCGTGTCTGACTTCTTAGCATGATACTTTTGACATTCATCCATGTTGCTGGATCTATCAGCAGCTGGTTAAGATTTTACTGCTGAGTGGAATCCCACTGTTATGGATATACTGCAATTTACTTATTCACTTGTTGATGTACATCTGAGTCGTTTCTAGGTTATCATGAATGAATCTGCTATGAACATTCATATATAAGTCTTTTTGTAGACATGTTTGCACTTCTTTTGGGTACATACTTAGTAGTGAAATCACAGGGTTATATATGTTTAACTTAAAAAAATTTTTTTTTAACATTTATTCATTCTTGAGAAAGAGACAGAGCATGAGCGGGGGAGAGGCACGGAGAGGGGGAGACACAGAATCTGAAGCAGGCTTTAGCCTCTAAGCTGTCAGCACACAGCCCAAAGTGGGGCTCGAACCCATGAACCGTGAGATCATGACTTGAGCTGAAGTCAGACACTTAACCAGCTGAGCCACCCAGGCACCCCAGTATATGTTTAACTTTATACAAAACTGCCAAATTGTTTTCCAAAGTGGTTGTACTATTATATATTCCCACCAATATGCGTTAAGAGCTCCAACTGCTATAAATTCTCTAACACTCAGTACTGTCTTTAATTTTAGCCATTCTAGCAGGTATGTAGTGGTATCTCACTGTTGTTTTAATCCAGCTTCCTAATTAAATAACGGGCATCTTTTCACATGCTTACTGGCCACTCATGTATCTTCTTTGGTGAAGTATCTCTTCGAATCCTTCCCTCATTTTAAAAACATTTGTCTTCTTGGGCATCTGGGTGGCTCAGTCAGTTAAGTGTCTGACTTCAGCTCAAGTCATGATCTCACGGTTTGTGGGTTCAAGCTCTGCACTGGGCTCCACACTGACAGTGCAGAGTTTGCTTGGGATTCTCTCCCTCTCTCTCTCTCTCTCTCTCCTTTCCCCATGTGCACGTGTGCTCTCTCTTTCAAAATAAACTTAAAAATATATATATACACACACATACGTACATATATACATACATATCTGTATGTATGTATATGTATACATATACACACACATATGTATGTATATATACATGTATGTCCTCTTATTGAGTTTTATAAGAACTCTTTATACATTTTAGATTACAATTTTTTGGCTGGATATATGTATTGTGAATTTTTCCTAGGAATTTTACAGAGGTAAAGGATAGGGCACATTTTTAAAATTATAAAGATATCCAGTTGCTGTAGCGCCATTTCTTAAAGAGATAGCCCTTTCCTCATTGAACTGCCTTGGCCTATATGTTGAAAATGAAGTGACCACATAATCTTAAGTCTTATTTCTGGACTCTATGACACAAACACACACTATTTTGACTACTATAGTTTCACAGTAATTTTCTTTTCACAGTATGTTCTAATATCGGGTCATAAAAGTAGTTTTGTTCTTTTTCAAAACTGTTTTGGCTACTCTACGTCTTTTGCATTTCCATGAAAGTTTTATATTCAGTTTGCCAAATTCCAAAAAGAAGAAAAAAACAGCTGAGAAGTTTGTTTTCACAGGACAATGTGGAGAAGTGACATAAAAAAATCATTAGGTCTTTTGATCTGTGAACATGGTATCTCTCTGCATATTTATGTTAGTGACTCTTAAATTTTATTGCATATGAGAATTATTCCAAGGGCCTATTAAAAATGTGGCTCACTGGGGTCAGGTCACACCAATGCTGAATATGAATCAATTGGAAGTTTATGTACCCAAAACATGTGTGGTGGTTTTTTAAAATCTGTCCAACAGATTCTCTGACACTTCTCTGTTCAAGAAGTGTAGCCTAATTTTCTTCTCCTTGAGTATAGGCTAGATCTGGTAACTCGTTCCTAAAAACCAGGATAAAATGGAAATGTCAGTATGAGACTTTTGCCACCAGGTCATGAATGGTGCTGGATCTTTCTTCTTGTTCTGGGGGGAGCCAGGTGCCATACTGTTAGGACACTCAAGCAACCCTAGTGGAGAGGCCCATGCAGTGAGAAAGTGAAATTCTAAGAACAGCCATCGGAGAAAACAATCTCAGAAGTAGGTCCTCCAGTTTCAGTTATGTCTCCAGACAACTCCAATTTCATGACAGACCCTGAGCCAAAACCACCCAGCTAAGCTGCTCCCGGATTCCAGGCTCACAGAAACTACATGAGAAAACAAGTGTTTGTTGTTTTAAGCTATAAACTTTGAGGTAACATGTTTTGTGTAACACATGTTCTGTGTAACAATAGATAACTAACAATAATGTGCAGGCAATGTGCATGCTCATCCCATTCCTGGCTCACAGCAAAAAAAGCCACATTTGGCATAATCCACTAAGCATCTATCCTGTGCCAGGCCCTAGAGAAACAAAAATTTGATGACCATATCCCTAGCTATAAGAATTCTCATCCCAAAGAGATGGGAAAAATAAAATCATACGGTGTCAAAAAAAAAAAAAAAAAAAAAAAAAAGAACTTAAACCCAATCTTCCACTTAGCACACAGAACCCTCTAACTTCTCGAAGTCTCAAGTCTAGAATTATAAAATGCTGAGTTAATCCAATACACAAAGGTGGTGACCCCTGTTTACAACAGTAATAAATACCCACGTTATGTCTGCCCCAAACTAACAACTTATGGTTAAAACCACAATAATAACAAAACATGCCACCAGCACTACAACCTGGAATGAAGTCTGTGTGTTTTGATTTTGTTTACGGGTCAGATTTAACAAATAAGAAACAGAACATTAGGATCTGCTATTATGGCCAGAGTAATGGCAAGGACACAATATTTTTTTTTTAATTGCTCTCTGTATAAGTTAACACATACATAAACAAACAATATTAAAAAGACTAGAAGACAGACACCCAAATGTTAAAAGTATCTCTCTGTGGTTGGTAAATTTATGAGAAAACTGAGATTGTGTGTTGCTTTCTTTGCCTTGTTTTCCAATTTTTGCCCATGATGAATCACTTATATAATAAAAGCTATTTTTAAAAATCACCAAGATTTGCCAAATACTCATATACACAAGGAAAAAGTAGTTTAATTCATTAAAAAGCACTAAACTTAAAAAAAAGGAAACTAAGTAAAAGATGAACTGAAAGTAATTCCAGGTAGGTTTCAGGGAACTATTCTGCCAATAACATTATCTTTTTAAGGGCACAAAACTTCAAAACTGATTTTAAAGCCAGGTCAGGTCTTTTAAAGCAATTGCTAATCTAAAAACTCGTAACTAAAATGTCTGGTAAGAAACTTAAGGCTGTAGCTAATAATCCAATGATATAAATAAGACTCAGGTTAAAGATATAAAACCAAGTGCCTTAATTTCAAAAGACGTTATTACATATCTATCGTATCGATCATATGCTCAAACTGTGCTATGTGTGACATGACAGGTACCAGAAACTCTAATATATGACAACTTCAAATATGTGAATGGCTACAGTATAGCTCCACATGGCAGGCTGGGTCCTCCGAGGAGAACTGACAGAGAGGTAAAATGAGACACCTGCAGAACATCAACAGTGTATAAACAAACACAATTACCAACTGACAGAGAAACTATAGAGATGATCTACACCAGGTAAATTGATAAATAACCTCTACAGATGCATACAGAAGTACTTCCAGGTAAATGCTATCTGGAATTTGCTTTAAAATATGCTCAAGGCAAGAAAAAAAATCAGGGGGATACGGGGAAAGATGAAACAAGATTGGCAAAAAGTTGAGTTACTGAAGTGGGGGTGTAAGATACATGGAGTTCATTATACTACTCTCTCTACTGCTGTTCATGTTTGAAAGTTTTAATAATAAAAAGCTGAACACTATCTTTAAGCTTCTTCCCTTCCAATCCCTTACTTTTTTATGACATAAGGATACAAGGAGAAGACTAGCTTAGCCCAAGAAAGGATTGTGTTAAGGAGCAGAGAGAGAAAAGTTTGATAGATAACATTAACCCATGAGCCAGGGTGTCCTACTCTAAGGGTGACAGGGAGCCACTTCAAGCAGAAAAGGAACAAAATAAAAGCCATACTTAAAGAAGATTAGTTGAAGGGCAACATGAATGGAAAGGTAAAATCAAAATAACTAGCTAATGGTTTTTTAAGCAGTCTAGGAAAAAGTGATAGCAAGGAGTGGAGAAAGAAAGGGAAAATGTAAAAGCACGCTGAAGAAAATGGAAATAGAACCCAGTTCCAGGAACTCCATAGATTGTGTATAGTAAATACATTCAGAGGAAGAGTCAAAGAGAACTCAAAGACTGGGTGTAGGTGATTAGGGGAACAAGGTGCTTTCACAGACACAGGAAAGCTGTGCAGAACGAAGA